ATTTGGTACAATTTATGCGATAGATATTTTACCAGTAATAATAAACGTAGTAGTCTATATGAAATGCAACAAGATGAAAAGAAAGCTGGTCAAAAAAATGGAAAAGGACAATTCTTCATCGAGGAAATTCGGACAAGTTAATAGAATTTTTTTTTTCAAAAAAATAACGATGTTTAACACATATCCTCGTGTTTAAACAGACATGATATTCTTTCCATATATAATGACAAAATTTGCTTTAAATTTTTAATTCTCTTTATTTTAGATGAAAACTTGAGAATTTTCTAACATTTCAATCAAATTTTCACTTTCAAAAGTTATAGTTAATAATTATAGTTTAGAGAAAAAAGTAGTTTCATGAAAAAAGAAAACGTCAGTTTAAACTAACACCAGGAGGTTATGCATATGTTGCCTTTTTCCATACATTGTGAGCATTTTTGTTAAATTTTGTATTTTCTGGATTTCAGCATATTTCAATGAAAGTTTAATGTACAAGGTCCAGATGGGCCTGCAAAAATAGGTATACAATAAAAATACAACATTGACAAAAGATGTATTGATCATACAGACATATCAATAGCATATCAATAGGTATAATACTGTATAACTACTTTTTCAGCCCCTATATGTGTGCATATATATATATATATATATATATATATATATATATATATATGAAACATTTCTTTTGAGTTAACCTGTAGAAAAAGACAATATGTATAAAGGTAAAAGGCAATATGAAAACTATCTTATTAGCCGACACGTTTCGTCTAATGTGAATTTTTTCAAGGCAAAAACGAAATGAATTTATTAAACAAAGTAACTAATAATAACAAAACAAAATGTCCTTAGTAACTGGAAGAATTTAGAGAACGCTATTTTCATACTGTTAATTGAAAATTATGTCAAGTACTGTCACGTGTGGAGATATTGTTTTTATTGTTGTGTTGACAGATTCAACCATTTTCTTTTAGTTTCTTGATACAGTTTTGTCCGTTTGCTTGGGAGAGTAGTAAATCTGTTTGGAAAGACGATATTGGGAAAAAGCCTGGGCGTAGATTAATATTTGGATAATATTCAATGGGAGCACTCTCAAGGATTTTCCTTCATAGTGAGTTATGTGCGTGTGTGTGTGTGTGTGTCTGCATGTAATGTGTGCGCGTTTAAATTTCAGATATAACTAAAAGTATGTCTATAAAAATAAAGTTTTTGTTTTTATTCACACTCTCTCTCTCACACACACACACATACACACACACTCACATATATATATATATATATATTATTTGCAGCTTATGCTTATGTTTATTTTTTATTTTCAGTCTGCCATCTTGTTTATAATAACTTAAATCCATTTTCATCTGATTTTTAAATGCAGGGTGATAGCGGCGGTCCCTTGATTTGTCGCCAGAATCAACAATGGGTTTTATCAGGCATCATATCTTTTACAATTGAGATGTCTCCAGCCGTCTTTACACGAGTGGCTTCCTACAATAATTGGGTAATGGATGTCATTAAGAAAGAAGAAGCCAAGACGAGAACTAGTGAAGAAAAGAAACATCATTTACTGACTGATTTTTTTCAAAATCCTCTAGCCGAAATGCCGACACATTTGAATGGCTACCCTTTGTATAATTACGTGCTATACAGGAAATTAGTTCCTTATGTAAACTTAAACAATTTATACGGAAGGTATATTTTTCAAATATAGTCAGAGAGAAATGGGCAAAATTAAACAATTTTACATAGGTATTGATCTATCAACACGAATGTTCATTATCTGTGAAAAGTTGCTCAGTGATTGTGTCGAAATCGTGTCTAATTTAAATGACGGTAAATATAAAACATACTTTTTGAATTTGGAGAGCCTCGTTTTAATTTCAAACGCTTTTTATTCTCGCTTCTTGGATAACTGGCTGAATTTCACAAATAATTTCATTAATAATTAGATGGAAGAAAAGAATTGTAATGCTTACTAAAAGGTTGAAGTCCAGTTTTAATTTTATTTAATCACTGCAATATCAAATTCTTTTGTGTGGCGTAATTTTACTTTTAACCGTTTCAATTCGCTTTTAGTTGCTGGATTATGTAAATCCCTGACCACCTTCTTACGACATGATCATGTGATAGTTGTAACCAATAAATTGAGATATGCTCTGGTATACTCAAGTCTGTTAATTTTTATCAACAAATATAAAATCGAGCAGCGCTTAAAAATCTCTGAATTGATTTTTTTTTTTTGTGTGTAATTATTTTGAATTAATTAAGGTCTCTTTACAGGTTTCCTTCATGCTTATCCTTGGAAGTAACCTCAGTGCTATTAAGTCATTAGTATCATTATGCTATTTGGTGATTAGATGTCGAGGAAAAATTTCTGAAACCAGTGAATTCACTTATTAAGAATCTCTACCTTTTCCCTGAAGCGGTTGTCTAGAACTGGAATTTTGACTGCAAATAGGTATTACTAGCAGTAGAGCCCGGCGCTCCCCGCGGATGTAACAGTAAGAGATAGATCAAGTATCGACCATCATAAAGACTGAAAAATAAAATTGACAAAGATTATTGTTTAAGGTTGACGGACACGCATGTCTTAATTAGTTTTTTTTTTTTTTTTTTTTACGAATTGGTCAAACCCAAACTCAAACAAAAACATTGTTTTCAATCGTTATGAGTCTATCGATTAAATAGAATTTTATTATAAACAATTGTCTTGTAAATGGAATTTTAAAAGCATTCTGAATGTAAAAATAAAGAAAAAAGTGTGCAAGACAATAAGAAACACTACCTGCCAAAAAAAACTGAAGTTTTGTTGAAATCGGTTGAAAAATGTAGGAAATCCGATCCCATATATAAACGAACACACACACACACACACACACACACAAACAACCTGGGTTTTATAATAAGTATAACTCGATATGAGTTGTCCCCCTTTCATTCTGGCGACAGAATCGTGTTTTATCGTGTTTTCAAATTGATTTCATGCAAAAACAATTGTGTTTTTTCCAATTTTGGCGCTGTCAGAACCACCGCAAGGTAATTTTACGCAGTCCTGTGAAGTTTTGTTGAAATCGGTTGAAAAATGTAGGAAATCCGATCCAATATATAAACGTACAGACACACACACACAAACACAATCTGCGTTTTATAATAAGTAAGATTATTGGAATACTGACAATTACTAAAACCCTATATATTAGTATACTAATTTTCTTTCCAATGTAAAACTGATAATTTAATTTTCCACTTAAAAATTGCTAGCGTCGCTTTTATATTGAGAAATATAGATTTTATGACATTAATAACATATATTTTGTGAAATATATTAAACAATTCTCTATATCAAACAGAAAGATTTTGAAATATGAAAAAATAAATGAATAGTTAAAAAAAAAAGAATTTTCATAAAAGTTCCTTGTAGACTTTTTAGAAATCAGTTTGATTTTCTATCAAAAGTTATGTTTAATTATTATTAATTCTCTGTCCATCTTTGAGTGAATTTATAGAATTTGTACTATCCTTAACCAAGCCAAGGAAATATCCAATGAACATTTAGCATTCTCTAGAATTTCAATGGCCATTTCACGAAGAATTCAGTTATGTCTCACATTCAGTCCATTGTTCCAAGGATTTTCAGCTGTGGTGCTTTTTACAACGATTTTCAGCTTTTGTCTCATATACTGAAAATTATTAAATTCTGTACCATTGTCAATCAAAAAGTTCCGAGGTGCTTCAAAATCAGAGAGCCAATATTTACACACAGTTGCCAGTCTTTTAAAACTTTCCTTATTTCGCAGTATAGAAGTCACACAGTATCGTGTCGCAGGATCTATAATATTAATACGTGTGATCATTTTACTTCGTTTATGGTGATTTCCTCAGCATATCTTAGATGTGGCACAAGTCCGAATGTAGGGAGCACCGAATGAGGCTCAAACTCACTACACAGTCGTAATTGATCTAGTGAGACAAACCATTACAAAACAGTATTAATAACATTTACCAACCTGAATGTCCGAGAAATTTCATTTAATAAACTCTCCACGTAAGAATCATACATGTTCTAACATTTATACCGCTAAGTTTCCACTTACAAATTGCTTGCATAGATCTTATATGAACAATATAGCCTTTATGACATTAATTAGATATATTTTGTTAAATATATAAAATAATATTTTTTATGAAACATTTTTAATATTTTATTTATTTAGATACAGTCTAACAGTCCGACATCGTTTTCATTTCTATCGGTGAAAAAATAATTAACGTAATTTTATTTTGAAAATGCTCACGCGAAGTAGAGAAACGTTAATAATTAAAAAAAAGGTTTTTCAATGTCTTTTCACATATTCCATTTTTATATACTTTGTCGGATATTTCAGACCAGTCATTTATTATGTGTGTTGTAGTAAATCATAGGGGTGGCACGATGGAATAATGAGTAGCCGCTCGGATTGAGGAATCGGCGAGCCGTGTTCGAATTCCAGTCGATTCCCTTAAATTCACTTACGTGCTAATTCCCTTGAGAAAAGTGTGAATCCTCTTCTTCTTCACCTAGCTATGGGTAAATAGCAGGACAGAACAGGTTCTATAGCCTTGGATAGCAACTGGTCTACCGCAGAAAGAAATGGTAACATATTGTGTGGGAAAAAATCTGCTTCGCCAGTCATGTATCGAAAGATGCGTGTATCACTCATGGCACATAACTAACTAGTAGTAACTCAGTATTTGATTATTTTATTGATTTGCTTTTTTACGGCTTATCAACCTTTGCAAGTTATTTAAAGTCAGAAAATATTTTTACATTGTAAGAAGATTTTTTTTTAGATAATAAAGATTTACTGATACAAATCCTATTAATTAAGTTGAGTTGGATTCATGACTTTCCCAAGGTTATTTGCGTGTAAGGGAATATAATGACCCCCGCTGAAATTGGAACTTGGCTATCTGATTTACCATTCCGTGTGGTTATCAATTGCACCACCCATACACCCAAGCTTACAGCACCTCGTACTTCCAAGCGGTCATCCATCTAGTTACTGACCAGGATCGACTTTGTTTAACTTCGGTTATCGTACGAGAATCGGTGTTTCAACGTGATATGACCCTAAGCAAACGTAACGTTTTCTACATAAATGACTTAATTAAATAAATTGAAATACAAAGTTCAGTGACTGATTTCCCTACAAGAGGACAAGGTAAATCAATCAGTTTATTAACAGATCTCATATCTTGTTTAAGATTCGTTACATAAAACAACGCTAATTTGTGAGCTCAATTTAATTTTAAACTTCTCCTTTATTATGTATGTTATTACGTTAACATAATCTAATCTGAAATTGTTCGATAATTTGTATTAGATAGTTTTTTTTTGCTTTATAGAAAAGTAAAGGTCTGAACTGGTGGAACTAAAGAATGAAGCTCATTTGAACATTTGCTGTGGAAATAGCGGAATGTTTGCAACTTTTCGTCTGCGTGGAAAGGGGCCGTAAAACGAAGTTTTCGATCACAAGATGGTGTAAGCGATTTTAAACTCCCTCAAGTCTGTTATAAAAACGAATCTGCATTAGAATTTTAAGTAAATAAATATAGTAGATGGATTTATCTATAGTCCATTGAAATTTAGAGGCATTTATATTATTGCAATATTAATAAGTACTGGGCAAATACAGAGTGTCCATAAAGTTCGTGTGCACTTTAAAAAATTATAACTTTATTTGTATTTGCGATAGAAATAATCTGTAAAAAAAATTTAAGAAGTTTAATGTACCTAGATTTAAGTATAGCTAAAATAACTAATGTGATTTCAGGCATTACTGTAAATCAGTTGGCAAATATTTTCCGTGAACTGCAAAATCGTATTACCCTTTGTATTGCTAATGATGGACGACATATGGAAACTTAAATAAAATTTCAATAAAACATTAAAAAATATAGATTTATTTCTTTCTAATCCTTTTACAAATTATTTCTATCGCAAATACAAATAAAGTTATAATTTTTTTAAGCGCACACGAACTTTATGGACACGCTGTATTTTAATTTTTAATACATTGGTCGATGATATATTTTTTAAAGGTGAAAACAATCTTTGTTATTATTATTATTATTTCATGACTTTATACAGTTTTTTGTTAATCCGATCCTTGATTGGTTTAATTACTTTAAAAACATAGGTTTGTTCTTCACCTAATGAACCAAGACAACATTACAAAACATAATGATAAACAATTCCATACGTTTTATGTCAAAGTTTAACCTTTGTGCCTGCAAAAAGACAAAACAAAAAGAAAAAAAAACGGTGCGTCAAAAGGATGGTTATTTCCTTGACACCGCTATTATTATATACACTTTTGACTCTCTTAGCAATGTTTATTGTTTTTAAAAAGCAATGATTAAAATTTTAGTAAAGTATAAAAGTGGATTTATATATTTTCTTTATTCTTGAGAATTGACAACACTATTTATTAGATTGCTTATTTACAAGAATAATTTTATATAATATATATAAAATATATATATTATAAAATATGCGAACCAAATATAATGAAATACTTATTTATCATTTTATGAAGAAATAAATATGAAAATAATTTTTTTATTCATAAATTTACAAAAATATCTGTGAAAACGAAAATTTAAATAAACACATAACGAAATGCGACTGTAAAAGAAAATTTTGAAAAAAAAAAGAATTTCCGGGCATTTCTTACATTTGGTCTCGCCAAATAAATTCATTAAAATAGGCCGAGAGCATATTTTAATAATTTTGTAATTTTTTATTAATTTTTGAATAAAAAGATTTCTTTTACAGTTGAATTGGCTAGATGTAACCGTAAGTTCTATGCTAATAGTTTCTTCTATCACACTTCTTGCTTGTGGAACTCTCTTCCGGCTCCATGCTTTCCAGTCAACTTTGATCTTCAAAACTTTAAATGCAATGTCAATAGTTATCTACTGTCATTTTGGTTACTCTTTTTTTTTATTGTTCTTGCTCCTTAATGTTTCTGATTTTTTTCTTATTCTTTCGCACTCAGTAACCCCTTGTGTCTTAGTAGCTTTACTGCCTTGCATGAGGTGAAATGATTTAAAAAAATATATTTCTATATAAAATGGTAAATACAAAATTGCATTGTACTTGGTTCATATATTTTTATATTTTTTTTTAAATAAACATTTCCGAGGGAATCAAAAATGCATACAGTAAAAGTGATGTCAAGGGAATAAACACACTGTTTTTTTTGTGGGCACAAAGTTTAAATATTACCCTTTTTATTTAGTATAAATGGCATGTACTTGTTCATTAAGAAAATAAGTAAAAACCACTGCTTCTTATCCACTGCTCTCTTTTTCTTACTTATTTGATCATTTTTACTAAAATTCAACCAAATCAATGCTCGAGAGCCATTCAAGGTAGAAGATTACTGAATGAGGTGCGTGATATGAATGTAAAAGGCATTAATATGAAGTTAACATCATGAGAATAAAAGAACTAGATAAAGATTGAAACCTTGTCTTAAAGAACTAAGATTTTAGTGTTTAGGAAAGAATCCTTACGAGAGTCTGTTCCACAAACTAACAGCTCTTAGGAAAAAGATGTCTGAGTGAAACTTAAAATTGGAATATGGAGGAAATGTGGGTGATTCAACTCCGTGGAAGTAGTATGGCGTGGCCGAGTTCTAAATATACAGGATGTATAAAAAATACTTTTACAAAATTTGGGAGTTGTTTCTTCACACCAAAACTAGGACAAAAGTTCGTATAAACATATGTTCACAAATCCTTGTTTTTGAGTTATTAAGTTTGAAAAATTGATAGGCAGGGGAGGACCGGTTTCATGGGCTGCACGTTCCTCCGACCTGAATCCTTTGGATTTTTATCTCTGGGGCCACCTAATACAATTGGTTTATGCAGCAGACATTAATAATGCGTAGACGCTTCATCAACGTGTCATGTGGCGGGGCTGAAACTATTCGACACCATGTGAGAATATTTGAAAGGGTTCGCCAGTCAATGATCCAACGGTTATAGAAGCAAATGGAGGACATTTTAAACATTTCTATGAGTTGCTGTGTTGAGGTACAACGATAGATTTTTGGACATATGTTAATACGGACATTTTACCTTGTTTTGGTGTAAGGAACCCGCTCCCAATGTATATTGGGATTGTATTTTGGATTGTACATTTAACAGCGTCTACCGTAAACTTTAAACTTAATAAGTCAAAAACGAAGGATTTGTGGCCATATGTTTACATATGTGAGGAACTCTCCCTCAAAGTTTGTAAAAGTATTTTGCCACACCCTGTATAGAGTGGAAGAACTAAATAATGGTGCTTATCTGCGTATTTGTCATGGAAATAGTGACAGAGTAGCAATACATTTGCGACGTTGCGTCTGTAAGAAAGAGGCTTCAAAGTGTAGAATAAATCTTCCACAAGCCGATTTCGAACTGTCTCAAGGCTGGAAAGTGAAGATTGAGCAGCTCCATTCCAGATACGGCAGCAATACTCTATCGTGAATCGCATCGAGCTTTTCACTGATTTTGTGTATAATAGCAGTCGAAACATCAGCAGTGGACCAAGTAGAGTGAAACCCATACAGTTTGTCGCTCAGGGATTTATTTCTAGTGAGGTGATCAACAAACTTTTTTACTCATAAGAGACTCAAAGAGTGTGATTATGGCACTAAGAAGGCTCACAGCTGTGATGGAGATGAACGTTCAGCAGTATTCTTAAAAAATAGGTAAAACAACTGCCAACATCCACAGGCTTGGGAAACATTTATCTTTCAGGAAGCAGTTAAACAACTTCGTCAATATTGGAGAAAATTCAGGGCAAAATCTTAGTTACTACAATAAGGATTTTATCCGAACCAGCAGCCTTCGTAGACAGGGTGTGTGATGAGTCCGGAAAATTCCAGAGCCGTGATAGTGAGATCACAAAGCGTGTGCTCCGTGAGAGGAGTGGTCAGGTAGCTATCTTGATTCTGAGTAGAAGTGTTCTTTCTGTTGCCGTCTAGCGTGGAGTTTGCAGGAAAAGTTCATTAAAAATATTTGCTTTTTAGTTTTTTTCTAATGAAGATGAAATAATCCATAAAGGTTAAGTTTTCCAATCCAATACCCCTCTCGAAATTTATGTGCCCAGAATTCTTTTTCGATTTCCAAGCTATCTTGATTTTCTGAGTGTGAAAAAAGTGTTCTTTCTGTTGCTATTTTCTTTAAGACTTCTTTATTGATTACTCGCTCCGTCCATGGAAATTTCAGTATCATGATGTAAAACTATATTTGTATTACTTTTAGTTTTTTTTTCTTATCCGTGGGGAGATTGTTCAACATTAAATGCCATATAAGAGGATGGCTATCGAGCGAGTATTATCGAGCAATCAATACTTTTTTTTTTTTTTTTTTGTTTCTAACGAAATTTATTACGTTTCTCACCAAAGTGGTAACGTATTCGTTTTTGTTCGTTGACATCACAAAAGTTTATATCTCCAATTTCTTCTTTCGATTGTCCAATGCATATTCGGATCTCGGTGTCGCATTTTGCATCGTCTGTGAAAACGTTTGCCAATTATTTGAACTTCTGCACCTGTTTGATGCGTATGTTATACAGGAATAAAGTGTCGCTGCCGACACTTGAGTTTGGACATAGATCGCCAGTGAGCAAACACGTGGCGATCCCATTATTTTTCCCAATTGTTAAATAGACCACGTGACCATAGAGGAAACGTTATATAGTAGGAAGTGAATAGCGTGACGTCTAGATTGATCGCTATTTCTATTCTATTCTCTCTTATTATACGGACCGCAGGATCTCTACGTAGTCTATTCACTATACTATTTCCCATATTCGGATCACTATACGGGGGATTACTATTCGAGCGAGTTATTATCGAGCAAGTCTAGGGACTATGCTAATATGAGTGCTATTCGACGAATCTCCGACTTCTGACACCAATATTGTTCAACGGCCTACTATAGTTGTATCGGTGCGAGGCTCAGCCAAATATTCTTTACCCTAGAACGGGGTTGGGAGTATCACGAAAGTGGTCTTCGACATATTCGTTGAGGATCCTCTCTGCTCAGGCAGAAAGTTTGCCAAACGAGTGT